GCCCTGCTGGCTGCTACTGGCCCTGGGGTGGGTGCATGCTGTGGGTGCTGGAGGCACTGGAGTGTGTGCCCTCTGTGGATGCAGAGCCCTGCTGGGTGTCGCTGGCCCTGGGGTGGGTGCTTGCTGCAGGCACAGGGCTCCCAGCACCGCCCAGGTGTCGGGCAGAGCCTGGCAGGCTCCCAGCTTCCAGGAGCTTTCAGCCAGCTCTTCTGTGCGCTCACAGGGTAGGTGGGGTGCAAGTTGTTCCCCTGTGTCATGGGAGCCTGGGTGCTGTCACGGTGGAAGGGAACGGCTAGCATGGCCGGTACACAGTCGTTCCCGTCTCTGCTCTGCTGAAAGCTCAGGTTTGGGGGCGATTGCTCCTCTATAGGCTCCCAATCTTCCGGAGTGCAAAGGATGACAAAATCCTCCCCCCTCTAAGGGTTAAACTATCATCCCTATGGAAAAATGTGCACCTGGTTTCATTTGTGAATGTTTAACTTTAGATACCAGCTCTTCCTTCTTGTCTTGCTTTTTTCCACTGGCTTAAAGAGATTTTCAATTTCTGGTTTTTTTCTCCCCATGAAGGAATTCACACACTGAGATCAAGCCACTCGCGACTCTGCTCAGATAAGAACAGATGGAGCCCTTCTGCTCCTTCCCTGCCAGGCGTTTCCTCCTGCGCCCGGTTGCTTTTGCGGCTCTTTTCAGTACCTCCTTCACAAAACGCATCCTAGAGCAGGAAGCTGCTCTCTTATCTGCACCGCCTTCAGGGGCTAAGTCCCCGCTTTGCACAGCTCGCTGTTCCCTGCCCGCACATCTGGCTGCCATTGAGCTTGCGCAGGGCGGGGGTTGCATGGGCAGCTCGTGCTGAACTCCTCTCTGTCTCCAGCCCCACACACTCGTATAGGACCGCAGCAGTCGTGCCTCAATCCCAGCCACGCCGTTCCCAGCCCTACGGCTCGGGGTACGGCCCAACCGTTCTGTTCTCGAGGCCAAGCCTTTTCATTTTGTCTGAGTGTGTTCAGCAGCATGATTTGCCCTTCCAGCAGTCCCTGTGCCACCTGCCAGTGCAGCCAGCAGCGGGATGACGTTCAGAAACGGCTTTCCTTGCCCAGCCCCGGAGAGCTCACAGCTGAGTTTTGCCAAGGCTGTTTTTGAGATGTGCCACTTTGAATTTAATTATGGCTTTGCATAGCCAACTTTTAAGCTCAGCCACTCCCGTGGCACCCAGCCTTGCATAAGTTTACATGCACATGCAACACTACCATCATCCAAACTGGTTTTCCTGTGCTCCGGCAGGTAGCTAGTATTCAGGGTTTCCCACGTTTTTCCTTTGGAACAATAAAAACCCTATTGTAGTGAGTGAAGCATCTCTTTGGTGTAGTTGTGTTTATGTACAAAGGTGTATGAGGTTCCTGTACGAACAAATACCAGCAGTTTCTTGTGCCGCTGGCCCTGGGCCGGTCTCCCAGCCGCGCTCACAAGCTGCTTCGTGTGGAAGGGGTGAGTGAGAGGCTGAGGCTCGGCGAGGCCTGGCAGCGAGCACCCAACAGCCAACAGTGCAGGGAGAAGTTACAGAGGTAGGAGGTGGGGAAGGAGGAATTTGGGAAATACTCCGCCCTTCAGACCAGCACTGAGTCCTGAGAGCCCCCTTTTTCCCAGTCCCCTGCTCCGGCATTGGTTTCTCATTTGTTCCATGGTCAAAACTATTTTCCAAATGACAAAGGAAAAGAATGAAAAAAAAATCCCTTGGATGAGAAATAGAAAGCACTGAGGGAGAAAAAGAAACAACAAAAAATCAGAAATTGCTGTCATTGCTCTTCTGGTGGAGCTTTGAGGTTTGCAGCAGGCTCTCTGTCCTCACCCGGCTGTGCTGCCACTGTCGCATGGGGGGAGCTGGGGGCATGTTAGTAGTGGGGGACACGATGGCTCATGCTGCTGGGGATGTCGGCCGGTGGGGTTGCTGCGCTGCACGATGGGCAAGGCCCTGTGGCATCACTGGGCTCTCCTGCCCCAAGGGGCAATGCGAGGAGATGGGACAAGAGATGGATGGAAAGCCTGGCTGGCCCCATGCAGGGTCCTCCAGGTCGTGCCAGATGTTGCACAGCTGGCTTCCCTGATGGGCACCCTACTACACATATCGCAGCTTCACCCATGTGTGCTGGAGGGGCAGCTGTGGCCCTGCTAGCACCAGTCTCAGGGGACTGCCTGGGAAGGGGGAGCCAGCAGGGTGGGGGGCAGCACTTGGGTCTATCCAGCCTTCCAAGGACTGCTGCTGGGTGTCACCCCCAGGCAGCATTTCTGCCCCAGCCAATAGCACCGATCGCTGCTGAAAATTCCCAGAGAGAGTTTTTTTCCCCCCACAGAAAACGTGAACATTCTTATATCTTTTTATCTTGTTGCTGCAATTTTTTGCCATCCCAGAAAAATGACAGCTGGTAGGAGCCGTGCCAGGAGAGCAAGAGGTTGGAGTGCCCACGGGCTGGATTCTCAACAGCGTCTCAAGAGCCCTCCGGATCTGGAAACACAAAACACTCGAGTCACTGGGACAAACAGGGAAACACAATTTCAAGTGTTGACCATTATTCTGGGTTAACAACGTCAGGCTAAATGAATCCTGTGTGTAACTCAGTTGCCTGCCCTGGAGTTACCCAACATCAGTTTGTCCCACATAGCAGCCTGGGAAAAAACAGGGTTATGTAGGGTATTGAAGCAAACGTGTTTCCACTAGTTATTTTCTGCATTGGTAGTGTCTGTGCTGAGACAGGAGAGAGCTCATGTAAGATGCAGAGGCCTGTTCAGAAGCCACATGATTTATGCATTTTACTTTGAATGTATTTTCCTATTGAGACATGTCCAATTTGCCCTGAGAAATATGAATTTTTAACATAGAAAAATGAAAACTTCCCCAGGGCACTGAGCTACCCAGAACTGTGAATGACCATGGATTAATGGAAAGGTGTTGTCTGTAGTCGGATGCGCTCAAGTTTAAATAGAGCTTAAAATGGACTGTCCAAAGCAGTTTTGTCTCACAGTGCATTTCTCCATGTTGACAGGGAGCCAGGTCTGTCCTGCACAGAAATGGGTTTCGATTGAAATCCTCGCATGTCCCTGACTGCCCGGTGCCCTGCGATCAGCTCCACTGCTGAGAGCTGGTTTGGGAGATGGGGAAGGCGTGCCCTGCTCTCTGCCTCTCTCTGCTGAGGGTCTGGGAGGACAGAGCCCATGCAGAGCCTGGGTAGGTGTCACGCTTCCCCGTGGAGGAGCGAAGACCCATCAAAAGAGCATGACAGTGGGAAAGCACCTGGCTATGGCCAAGGCCGCTGCATCCCCATGAGGGCCAAGAGGCAGGACCCTAGGTCCGGTGTCTGCTCCTGGGCATGGGGCCGCCACAGTGGAGGCAATGCTGTCCCCTTCCCATGCCGCAGGGGATGCAAAGGCCTCTCTCCCCTGTGCACCTGGTCCAGCCCCAGAGGGGTCCCCACAAGTATACTGACCCCAGAATGGACCACACAAGGACCCTGTCCCCAGAAGGGTCCCCACGAGGAGGCTGACTA